CAGGGGTTTTCATTTCACTTCTCCTCTACTCCTTCCCATCACATCACTTACCATGACCTGGGGCTTCTTAAGAATAGAAATAACACCTTACCTCCCCTGCACCTTCCCCTTCCCCTTTCCCTGGCCATATTCTCCGCTGCAGCGCACCAGTCCCAGCGGCTGACAGTGTCTGCTACCGCTGTTGTCCCCTAGCTGCCACCCACTGGCACTGCTACCACTCACTGCCAGTCCCGTCGCTTTAGCGCCGGCTGGTGCTGCACTGCCAATTCCTGGACCCAGTGAAGGCAGACGCCAGACAGGCCCAGTCCACTCGGCTCCGTCTGGGCTTCTTTCTGCTGGCCTCCTCCCGTTCCCATCTTCAAATCTCCTCGTCCGGTCCCTCGAAAACCTGAACTCATCGCCCTGCTCGATTGCACGCCTCTAAAGCCGGCCAGCCCGCCGTCAAACCATTCGGACGCGTCTCTCATTGTCGAATCCATCCATTCCGCCGCGCATCGCGGTGCACGCCCCGTCATGATGAAGGAATACCTCGACTCCGATAGAGTGAACTACTTGGTCTGGAGGTAAGCCCGCGGCCACCACTCCTCTTCTCTGCCTCCGCCTCATCCAGTTTTGCGTCTCACCTCACCCACGCTCCATCAAACCGCGACGCCGCCGACTAGACTCGCCAGTCCCCTCGCGCAACACTGCGGAGAGGGAGAGACGGCTTGACTTTGTAGACCACGAATGCTGACCAGTGTGTGTTCTTTGCGCGCAACAGATACCTGCTCGAAGGCAGTACGTTGATGCCTCTCCCGCCTCCCGCTCATCGTGGACTGACGCTTGCCTCGCAGATTATCGAGAGACGGCAGCCAAGTTTCAGAAAGAGTGGCACGCTGAACCTCATCGTCACTTCGACTTTGCGCGCCACATCAAGAGCCATGCCCTTGTCTCCGTCGTCAACAAGGGCCTTTGCTACCACGCCCTCGAGCGTGAGCATGTTCGCAAATCGGTGAGTCCACCCCCCCCCCCCCAATCCAATCCACGCGCGCCCCACAATCACACATCACAACCGTGAATGAACCCTCATCCTCGGCACCACGCCGTCTTGCAACCACAGGCCTCGCTCACGGCGCTGACTCAATTCATTACTCACTATCACGGGGGGCCGACTAACCCTCGCCACAGACATCTCCCATCGCACCCGTCGCGCCGATCGACGCCCTGCAGATGGGCATTTTTGGCCCGCTCAATGTTCAGCCTCCACCGCCACAAAAGGTCGAGGACGACGAAGAGGATGCGGACGGCGATGCCGATGCTGACGCAGATGGCGATGCCGACGTGGATGCCGATGCAGATGCAGATGCCGATGCAGATGGCGACGCGGAGATGGAGGAGGTCGAGAACTCGCGAAAACGCCAACTCGATAATCGCACGCATCATCAGCATCAAATGAATGGTTCGCCGGCAAAGCGCCCGCGACTCGTCAGTAATGGGTACGAGAACGGAGTGGATGCAGCCACAGACCCCATGGAGCTAGACAACCACAACCATCAGCCAACCCCGGCCGACCACAACAACAACCACGCTTATCCCTCGCCCCTCGAAGGCGAACAGACACACTCACCAATCCCCCACACCGACGGTCCCGAACAGGGCACACAGGTCGACAAGGTCGAAGAACTCGCACCCGAGACGACCTTTTTGCGACTGATGCCAGACGACCTTCCCAATGGCACCAGCTCAGCGTCGCCCTCGTCGTCACCCATGCGGGCTCGCGCTGCAGCTGGAGAAAATGCACCCGTCCTGTTAAGCTGCGAGTGGAGCCCCAAAGACCCATCAGTCTTGGCGGCTGCTGGAACCGATGCGCTAGCCCGCGTTTGGACGGTTTCGCGTGCCGCCATATCTTCCGAATCTGACTTTGACGCCCACGACTCCCATCACGTGAACGGCGTCAACCGCCCCTTCCTCAGCCTTGTCGACAACGCAACGCCGCGCAGCGCAACAGTCAGCCAAATCGCCTGGAACTTCTGTCGGATCGGGCCATTGCTGTGGCGATTGATCATGAAGGCAAGACGTCGGTGCAGGTGCGGGGAACCGACGGCTCGCAGCTCGGCAAGTTTGATGTGACCGAATCACCTGTTATCAAGCTTCGATGGAATCCCTACCGACACGGCCCTACTGGGCATCGCACCTGAGAATGGCGGCGCGCTCATCTCCGTTTTTCAACCACTGACCTCGACTACCCTGACGTACTTTTTGCCCGACCATGACATTGACAACTGGCCGCTCGACGCTGCTTGGACCAGTGAGGCGACAATTCTGTTATGTGGAGGCCAAGTCTTGGTCTCGCTCCGCTGCACCGATTCGGCTATCGTCGTGGACAAGAAGATTGAGACGCAACCGGACGATAACTTTTCTCAAGTGCAATTTGACGCAAGGTCCAACCTCGCCGCTACGGCAAGCGCCAACGGCGTGCTCGATGTAAGTTTGCAGCCTCCCCCATGCACGTGTGACGTTCTTCCCGTCCTGACAGGCAGAAGCTTTGGAACGAGGCTGGCGAGCGGCATGCTATCTCTGCGCACTCGGGCGCCATCACGGCCTTGCAATGGCAGCCAGTGCCCAAGGACGCGCATGTACCCGATGATGAACGACTGATTGCTTCTGGCGGAGATGACTGCGCGATCCTCATTTGGAATGCAAGGAAACCAGATCAAAAGGCCAAGTGCTTCCTTACGATGGACTCGCCCATCGTCAGGTTAGCCTTCACGCCCGACGGCGCATTCATTGCGGGCGCCACCGCAGGCAGGATCCTGATCTGGAAGGTTGGCGACACGGCGATCCCTCGAGCCAGCTGGAGCCGGACACCTCATCTCGGCTGGCTCAGCCCGAAGACGACTTCAGAGTCGGAGGATGAGGACGAGCATTGCCTTGGCTGGGACTGCGATGGCCGACGTCTCGCATACGGAGCCAACAGTAGGGTGAGTGCAAAAAAGCTTGTCGTCTGTGGATTGAGAGCCAGATCACTAACACATTCGGACAGCTTGCCGTAATTAACTTTCGGAGGTAACATAGACGGCTACTGCGAGCCTACACAATCTCACATTCGCGAACGAGCTCGAGCCAGGCCTAGAGCCATCCATGCTCAGAACTACGTTGGCAGTACGATTTCCGAGCATCAGCATTGCTACAACGCCGCCGCCAGAGGAATCACTCAGGCAGCGATAACATTCACGACGACGAGGCGGCTTGGACGGCTCGAGCTGCTATTGTCCCTTCTATGGGGTGGATAGCACGATCTGGAAACTTTCAAAAGAAGTTCTGGAAAGAGATGAAAAGCGATGGTGCGGTATCCGCCGGCGCAGGACAAGAGTCTGGCGCACGATAAAGATGCTGCTGCATTTTGTTTTTGTTGTTCTCTTTTTTTCCTTTTGTAGCGAGGCATGCGCTGGATTCAAGTATACGGCGGGTGCATTCTTTAGGCGCTGAAGGGGCTCAGGGGACGGCAACGGAGGAACAGTTCGATGTTTTTTTGGCTCGTTTCGAGAGCAGGCGCTGTGTACAGTAGGGAAGGGGGATTGGGTGTTGGACGTGCCGTGTATACCATTGGGAGGATTGCTGATGCAACAATCACATTTGTATAAACATTTTTTGTTGATGTCATGTGACATGATGGTGTCAAATCTGCGCGAATGCTGTTGTTGGACTCCAGTCGTTTGCATCAGGGGTTCCGAAAAGTGACTATCAGGTCATGTCGGTGCCATGAGGCGGTTTGTGCACGAATTGACGTATCACAAAGCCGGTCTGTTACCCCGCAATCATCGTGCTCACTTGTCAATTGAGAGTGCCGCTGCACAACACCTTTGTCCTCGACGATTTGTCTACAAACTCATTGTCGAAATTGATTATCCAAAGTGAAGCAACCAAGTCGCCTTCGTAAGAAGAAAGGTCGTCCATTGACTTATCCAAAACATTTAGATCGTGTACATTTTCGCTGCAACATCGCCCTCCTGCTTGAGGCGGTCAACAGTCTACAGAAGCTGAGAGCTCCTGCATCCAAAAGCAAACTTCCGCAACGGTTGAAACAATCTCGTACGGCCCACGAGGTACGCTATACAACTTGACGACTGTTGCTGTCACCTCATTCCATCAGCTTCGTCACAGATCGCCGCCTCTCGGGGCGCATCGCCGTTCGATATCACTTCCCGGCTCTGGTCGCCCTCCTTCCCCGGAGGCATCCTACACACCGCCGCGCCTCCATCAGCCAACACCGTACCGTCACATCACGCACGCGCGCAGGGTACAGGTCAGAAACACCACCATAAACGCAAAGTCAGTCATCCTCCGGAGAAAGACAAAAGAATGTCGTCAACACCCTACGGCACCTCCACCCCCTCCACAACCCCCCGCCCACCTCCCTACTACGCGTCAACAGCCCACACATCATCCCCCCAGCCCCGTCACCGCCCCTCGCCGACGCCGTCCTTCACGCCCACGATGCGCGACCGTCAGGCCCGGGGCAAGGACCCCTTCGGCGCGTCCAGCAAAGACCCCTTTCCCAGCAGCGACTTTCAGCACCGCCAGGGCGGCGGCCGTGGCGGTTCGGGGGGTCGTCGACACTCTGACTCGGAAGGCGACGACGACGAGAACACGGGGTTCATCGGCGGTACTGGCTGCGGCGGCGGCGGCGGCGCAAGCGAGCGGCAGCGCGGGGAGACATTCGAGGCGTTCCGGAGGCGGGAATGGGCCAGGGACGTGCTGGAGAGTCCGGAGATGTTGATGTGGTATGCCTCAAGTCGGGAGGACGTACGTACCCTCTTTCTTCCTTTTTCTTCTTTCCCTTTCTCCCTTCTCTGCCCTGTGCTGGTCCCGTCTCGGCTCCTCGACTGTAGCGTTCCTTCCCCTCACAAGGGTTCTGTCTGAGACTGTCTGGGCCTGTACAACCAGCTCCCTCCTTCTCCACGCTATAGGGTATTTTTTTCGGTCATGTTTGGCTGAGCTTTCACTGCGTTGATCAGGTAGGTGGCTTTACTGACTTCATGGTACAGAGCATCCCGGGCACGCGCCTTTTCTTCACCCGCGTTCTGTGCGGCTTCGAAGAGGATCATGTTCCGCCGCAGGAGTCGACTCAGCGTAAGAGCTCCGGCTCTGGTCCCGGCAGGCCGCATGGCCACAAGCGACGCTGATGATTCGAGTCTTCGGGAGTGACTTGCGGTGAACAATAGGCCATCAAATATTTTTGTGGGGGCTCAAGTGTCAGAGACAGTCTCACTTAGCGAGGGTTGGGGAAGCGGCAGCGGGATCACAGCACCAGAAATGCAGAGGCACAAAATAAGATGCTCAGACGTCGTCACATTCATGCCGGTGTCCAGACGAGACCAGCCAGCTGACCCTAACCTATGTACCGCACTGCCTATCTCCAAAGGGCCCGTCTGCTCATCCACCGTATACTCTATCAACATCTTCTGAATATGTCCGCCCGCTGCCAAATGATGGATATCCGGTAGGGCATCTAGCTGATGCCTACTCCTGGTGGGCTCGCTCCCAGAACTGTTCCCGTGTATTTGTTGTGACCATTCGTCGTCTCTTTGACGATATCGAGAATAAGAGCAATAGAAAATAAACATAATGAAATGACGCCAGTCAACGCCGCCCGATGCAAATGCTAACATGTAGAGTAAAGACTCCTTTCTACGCATATCTCATGCTCATCGTCCGACTCCTCTGCGGATGCCACTGGCCGGGGTATGGCTGTTGGCCCGAGTACGAACTGTCAGCGTATCCTTGGCCTTGATGGCCGGTATGTACCTCACCCGGATAGGGGGGCATGTTGTTCGAGCTCTGGCTCGGCGGCGACTGCTGTTGCTGCCGCTGTGGTGGGGGCACTGGCGCGATGTTGGAGGCATTCCAGGCCCCGCCGTAGCTGTTCCATGTATTCATAGGAGGAGGCGTGGGAGGTAGTTTGGAGGCGTTCTTCTTGTGCCTCCGCTTCTTGCATGCTGACGATATACAGCACCACAGGATTGCTAGGACGAGAAGACCACCCACCGAAGCTCCTACGGGAATTAAAATATTCTTGTGTCTCTGGAACCAAGCCAAAACGTCGTTGGTAAAGGATGCATCCCGGCACACGCCATTGCGGCATGTTCCGCCACTCTCGCAAGGAGTACCGTCAAGATAATTTTGGTTCAAAAGTCGGCACTCCTGTGTCTGGAATACATTGGGTGAGCGACAAGAGAGCATGCAGCCGTTATCGCACGATGTCGTCTGATTGTTGGTGTCGCGGGAACCGACAGCAGCCTGACATTGCTGCTCTCGTGACGTGCACTGGCCCGAAGCACATTGCAGGTTGTCACCATCAGCGCCACACGAGTCACCGTCGCTCCTGTGGATGTCACTAGGACAGACCGAGGAATCACCGGGGCACGTTTCCTGCGGATCGCAAAGGCCCGTACTCTCACGACAGATGCTGCCTTGAGAGGCGAAACGACACTGATCTGTGCAACAGTCCTCGTTCGCCGGATCACACTGTGAGTTGGTCGTGAAGCGACAGGTCGCGGCGTCGCAACACGGGTTATTACCACAAGACTCAGCGCCGCCACAGTCGCACTCTTCCCCTGACTCAACAATGCCATTGCCACATTGGCTTCCAGTGATTGTCTCAACGTCTCGATTGTTGGCCAAGCATTCCGATCGAACGGCATTGCGATACAAGGCGGAGCAGACGTTGCCGATGGAGCAAGGGGAAAAGTTTTGGATCTGGTTTCCCGTGGATGGGTTCATGATGAAGCGGGCTGCCGCGTTGCATGTGTTCGCGCTCAAAGGACAGCATCTTTGCATCTGATTCTCACTGCTGGCGCAAAGTTGATCGTCGCAGTCGTGGACAGCACCAAAAGTGTGTCCGGCTTCGTGGGCGAATACTTGCCACTCGCTATCTGTTCGGACAACAACATTGGCAGCAGCAACAGTCTCGTTGGAACCGTCACTACCAGCTGTTGTCTGCGAACCTGGGACACACACCTGACCGAGCCAGGCCAGGCCGACAGCTGAGTTGGTGTTGCAGGTGCTTAGCAGAGTCCAAAAGGCATTGGCATCATTAGACCGCCCACGCCACTCCGAGAAGAGGTTGAGACGATCGCTAATGCGTAGATTGCTATTGCATCCAACGTTCCAAGGAGCGAGATCGCTGGCAGTACCGGGGCAGTCGCGGTCGCTAATCGTAAGATTTTGAATACCGAGTGAAATGTTGAAGCTGCTCTCATAGACTTCAGAAGCCGAGTTGACAAGGTCGATAATATTCTGGCGAACAGCCTGTGTGTCGTTGAAATCTGCGGTATACGTGCAATCCGTGGCGATGCCAACCAAGGCAATCTTGCGGACGGTCGGACAGCCTTGAGTCGAGCCGATGGTGGCAACAAGATTCTGGCCCGCGCCGTTATTGCCCGTCTGACCGGAATCAATCTGTCGCCCAAATAGTGAAGCAGGGGAAACGGCCCGCAGGCGAACGTCCTCAAACGCGTTGGGGTCGTATTTGGCATTGAACGTGAGTGATTGAGATTCACAACTCGAACGGCCCGCCGTGTCCCGCTTCAGGTCCTGAGGATCAAAGTAGTAGCTCATGACGTCTGAGTCTCTCCATACCACCATGTATTCATCTGGGTCTGCGTCGGTGTCGGGTAGCGGATCTTCGGGGTGCTTCAGGCGTCGATAGTTTTTGCCAGTCATAATGTGATGGTGGTCACCTCGATCCGAAGCGCTGAAAGACAAGATCCTGCGTCACGATGCATCGTTATCGCGCCATCACCTTGGTCCATTCAGATTGGCCATCGCGGCGAATGAAAGAGCGCCGCGGAAGACCTTGTGATCATGGCGTTGATGCGCTGTGACTTCGTAGCGAGCATCCGGACCGAGGTAGTTGACGTGCATGTCATCGTGGAGGATGTCGTGGTTTGGCTCGAGGGCGAGGCGTATTTGCTGTTGGGTATTTTCGAGACCAAATGTCAGGTCGAATGAGGAGTGGTACTGGCATCGTTTTGTCGGCGTATTCAAGGAGGGGGCGTCGATGAGATGGATAGCCGTCAGAGGATTCCGCTGTGCAGAGTGTGCTATTCAAAGAACAGTAGTGTTAGTAGTCTGATGTGCCTCGAGTGCCCACAAGCGACAGAGACTACGAACCAACGGCATCTTGGATTAATGAGGCGACACTGAGTGTACTGGCGAGGAGGGCCCGTATGCTAACCATGTTGGTGGTAGCCGGCGGCAGAGAGGGGGGGAGAGGGAGGGGGAGAGAGGCGAAGAGTTCCCTGACGCGGGACGGGGTTCTTGTAAAGGTTATTGCATCAGTTGTAGTGTGTAGTAAGGATCTTCCAGAGCTGGGTTGTTTGGATTTGCTTGTTCAAAGTCGAAGGTGAAGAGAAGCGAGTGGTGACGTCTAGTAGTCCCGGGCGGTTCGGAGACCAAGGTTGTTGCGACAGACTTTCCAAGGGGTCTGAGTGGGCGAATGTAGGGATGGATGTTGGGTCTGGATCTATGGGATATATGTCCAAAGGGTCGCAACTGGGCAACTGAATTTGGCAATCGGTAGTAGCGTGGGGAAAGATGGGTTAAGGTTGGAAGAGAGTTGGGAAGTTTGTCGTTGACTGACTGACGACGACGACGCTTGCTGGGTGCACGGAAGCCACAGACGAATGGTGGCAATGAGATGGGGATGGCAGATGGGAAAGAGACACCCAGAAGCAGTAGTAGACGTGGAGATGGAGGCGAAGCAGGCCAGGGGGGGCAACGTGAGGTACTGGGTCTACGAGTACGCAAGCACCCAAGACTTAGGTACCGCGCTAGCGCTCCTTGTGCTTGCCTCCCCTGTCGCCCCGAGGCCCCTCCCCATGCCTGTCGCCCACACCCCCCTGCACGACACTGGCTGTGGGAAGGCCCCTCCAAGGCCCCTCCAAGGCCCCTGCCAACCAGTTGGGGATCAGTTTCACCTTAGCTCCGAACAGCCAAGATGGCTTGCTCTCGTTGACTCGTCAGCACCACTGCACTTTGCTGTCTTGCTCCTTGGCTTGCCTGGCGTGTAGCCGTGGTGCAGCTTATTCACGCTGTCGTCGTCAGCGTCTACCAGCACTAACCAGCCGGCATTGTTCAATTGCGGAGTCTTGGGCAAGTCCGAGCCGACGTCTCCTCACCCTGGCCGTCTCGTCTCGTTATCCCCATCGGCCAGCCGCGGACCCTCAGAGTGACGGGTGTACTGATCAGAAGAAACCATGGCAACGATGATCCCGACAGATTGAGAATTCTCAAGAGCGCGAATTGTTCATCCATTGTGCGGCATCTGGTCGACCCTGACTATCAATCAGGAGCCCATACGTCCGGCACGCGGCAGTCATGGCGACCCCAGGCTTCCAATAATCCTGGACGTGGAACCGCCCACTGAAAGGCTGGGCGTCCACTGGACCAGCGTCTCCTTGCCAAGCGGCTCTAACATCCGAGACGGGGCTGAAGCAGAGAAGACTGTCGACGCCGACGCTCCCGAAATATCATTCGGCTGGGCCACTCTCCTCACAGACCACTTACCGTCTGTCAGCCAGATGCATACTTAGCGGCGAGCCATCAACGTGATGGATGCCGTGCTACCCTGCCCGAAGTCTGGTGACGAGCGTCCAATTCACAGCAGAGCCCTCACTGTGTCCCCACCGCAGCAGGTCGGTACCAACTTGCAGACTCGATCAGCTCAGCCAGCTACACCTGTGCTTGTGGCCATGAACCCCCTTCGTTGAGCGTTTCAGACCCAACAGATCGTCAACCACAGACGATCCTCTTTGAATGTTACCATGTGCAACAACCGTGTTCACCAAAAGACAGCTTCCACATTGTTGTGCATTTTTCAAGGGGCGAAAATTGAGTTGACCCCGACCGGCCTTGCCAATATTCGATACGAGCCAACATGATAACCGTAGGAGGGATGGATGTATCCCGAGGTTCCCACTTTGGCAGATGGGATCTCGGCGTGCGCGCCCACTCTGATTTCAGCAAACGAGACGATCTCGTTGGTAGACGCGATGTCTGAGTCTCCAAAGCGACCACAAGCAGGCAAGCGCAGGCTCAGTCACGAATCTGCACGACTCGCTCCTGCGGACCACTCCACTGCGTTCCATCAGATGGGCACCCAATACAGCAAACAATCCTTCTGGCCTCGTGGCACACACTGGCACCAATTGCAGATCGTCCCTTCTGATCAGTGCTGCTCCTCGTCTATCCTAAGTCCGGAGACGACCGAACTAATGACTATAGCTGGTCTCTGGATCATGATCTGCAGCAACCCAAACAAATCGCTAGTTGATCTCACGCCCATCTGATCGATGCAAAGCATACAGCGTCTCGAAGGCTCACACAGCCTTGTACTACGCTCAGCCATCGTCTTGGCGTCCGTCAGCAAGACCCTTAAAGAATATGGTGATGATGCGCTGATATGAGATTGACCACGATTCAGGCAAATATCTCTGACGTTAACATTCCGATTACGGCTTGCATCCACGTGGTGTTCTCAGGGTCAGCGGCGAAGCCCCAACACCAGGCGGCCACGAATGCTGCTGGTGGGCAGAGGATGACGACGACTCTCAGCCATCGCACTGCTTCTCCACACACCCTCCCGGACTTAGCGAACACCACTTGCACATTCCACTTTGCAACCTTTCCCTTTCGAAGCCTGCACGTTCTAGCGGTGGCACGGCGCCTGAAAACTAAGCTTCCGAGCGTTCCAGTTACAGCCAGACTCGCGCTGACACATCAACGACGACCATCAGGACCGCAGTTGTCAGTTGCTGTCTCTGGCCGCGCTCAGCCGTCAAGTTTATCGACATAGGTTGTTCCCGGGGAAAGCCCAGGGCAACTCGAGTGTCTTGAATCTAATGGATCAGACAGGCACACATTCTGGTGTCGATTTTTTTTGATTTTTTTTTTTTTTGGAGAAGTTGGCCAAGAATCGGTGTGAGATTGCATGAGCCAAGTCGGGTATCCGAACCACGCGCCGCCTCACAAGTTCAGCACAAAACGGAGTCCTTAACTCTTCGTCCTTACTCTGCTCTATCCCTCAAACGTGCATGCACTGTAATGAGACTGCGCAAGGAATGCCTCAGTACACTGACCAGATTGCTGCTTATCGGTATGATACCCTGAGGAACGAGATCCCACCGCTGACCAATAGCCTGGATACTGGGGATGTCCACGGTGTTCAACCGGTAATCCAGTGATCTTCGCAACTTAAAAAATCAGATGCCAAGTCTTCAGAAGAAGGCTATTCGAGACGCAGCGGCCGCCTGGGTTTCCCCTTGTTTCGGCCCCCTCTCTTAGTCCACCGATTCTGCTCGAAAGTAGTTGTAGTCGGGCTTGTGGTCAACTCCGACAAGAAACTCCGTCGGTGTGCTGGCGACATGCAGTGAACATGGGCATGCCGCGCGGCGTGGCTGTGTTGAGATGTTGTCTTTCAGCATGCAGAAGAAAGACCGATCTTTCCTGGGTTGTCCGCCACGAGTGCCAACTTGAACTCTTGAATCTGGCAATGTATGACTCGAGCTGCTCCTCCTGGAAACGGTATGATTGATAAAGTGATTACAACTCTTGAACGGCCTTCTGGAGGCCTCTTGATCGGTCCACGTCATGTTCGTGTTGGAAGAGGGTCCCGGTTGGCGACAACACCTGGACGAGGACTCACCGTGACAGCGTCGGCCGTGCGATTTGACTCTCGAGAGGTACAGGGTTGATGTGCCTCGAGCATGGATGGCACGATGTTACCGAGAGTCGGCGATTGCTGAGGCCGGCAGTCTTTACGCTTTGCCAGCTGGACTACTCCTTTTTCCTTGTGATGACCGCGATAGTTCAAGTTTGATTTGTCTCCTACTACATTGCCAATGTCGTTTGCCGCGTTCTCGAACTCTATTTCCACCTCCTTTCCCAAGAGACTCTCGGTTTGCTCCGGGAAAAAAAGTCGTTTCGACGTGTTCCCGCATGCATTCTTTTCTCCTTCAGTGCATACCCAGGAGTACCCGGCAACAACGGCAGAACGAGCGAAAAATGCATGATTAACTGTTTCAATTTCAAACACTCAACTCCAAGTGCGACCATTTCCGTCATAGCCCTATCACGTTCGAACTGTCCTGGCATCATGGTATCAAGTACGTCCACGGAACATTGTGCCCGTGTCCTCCTTTCCTTCCTTCCCAAAGCCTACAAACGCTTCAAATTCATTTCTTTCCCTTGGCCTCGTGCACAAGGTTGATAATCTTTTCCACGATGGAGGGGTCCGACAACTACAAGGAAAAACAAATCAGTCACAGGCGTTCTCGACACAGACGTGACAGAGCGGGAACGAAAACATACCGTTGTGATATCGCCGAGCTGGTCCTCCTCGCCGGCGAGAATCTTCCTCAGAATGCGGCGCATGATCTTGCCGGAGCGCGTCTTGGGCAGGTCGGGGACGATGAAGACGGCCTTGGGGGCGGCAAAGGGGCCGATGCTCTTGCGGACCTGCATGATGAACTCCTTGCGCAGGGCATCGCCGGCGCCGGTGGCGTCCTTGAGGGCGACAAAGGCGTTGACGGCCTGGCCGGTGAGCTCGTCGGCGACGCCGACGACGGCGGCCTCGGCGATGGAGTGGTGCTCGAGCAGGGCGGCCTCGATCTCGGCCGTAGAGAGGCGATGGCCCGAGACGTTGACGACGTCGTCAACGCGGCCGCGGATCCAGTAGAAGCCCTCGTGGTCGCGGCCGGCGCCGTCGCCGGTGAAGTAGTAGCCCTTGTAGACGTTGAGGTACGTGTCCATGTAGCGCTTGTGGGCGCCGTAGACGGTGCGGGCCATGCTGGGCCAGGGCTGCTTGAAGGCGAGGACGCCCTCGACGTCGTTGCCGTGGATCTCGTCGCCGGACACGGGGTCGATAATGGCGGGCTCGATGCCGAAAAAGGGCAGCGAGGCGCTGCCGGGCTTGGTCGGCGTGACGCCCGCCAGCGGCGTGATGACGTTGGAGCCCGTCTCGGTCTGCCAGTACGTGTCGACGACGTGCGCCTCCTCCTTGCCGACGGTCTCAAAGTACCACTTCCAGATCTCGGCGGCGATGGGCTCGCCGACGGAGCCGAGCACGCGCAGGTGCTTCATGTCGGCCTTGACGTGCTCGTCGCCGGCGCGCTTGAGCAGGCGCAGCGCCGTCGGCGCGACGTAGAACTGCGTCACCTCGTGCTTGGCGATGATGTCCCAGTAGCGCGAAAAGTTGGGGTAGGCGGGTGTGCCCTCGAAGACGACCGTCGTCACGCCGAGCAGCAGCGGCGCGTAGACGACGTAGGTGTGGCCCGTGATCCAGCCGACGTCGCCGCCGCAGAAGTAGCGGTCGCCGTCGTGAATGTCAAAGACGTATTTGCCCGTGCAAGGCGGCGCCGAGGAGATAGCCGGCCGTCGTGTGCATGACGCCCTTGGGCTTGCCGGTGAAACCGGAGGTGTAGAGGAGGAACAGGGGGTCCTCGGCGTTCACGTGAACGGGGGGGAAGTAGGTAGGCCACTTCTCGACCTCGTCGTGCCACCACCAGTCGCGGCCCTCGGTGAAGGGCACGTCGGCGCCGGTGCGCTTGTAGACGAGGACGTGGGAGACGTCGGGGCACTGCTTCAGGGCGTCGTCGACAATCTTCTTGGTGCCGATGAGCTTGCCGCCACGCTTGCCCCTCGTCCGAGGTGATGACGACGCGCGACTTTGCCGTCAATGACACGGTCGCGCAGCGAGTCGGCGGAGAAGCCGGCAAAGACGACCGAGTGGACGGCACCGAGACGGATGCAGGCGAGAATGGCGACGAGGGCCTCGGGAATCATGGGCAGGTAGATGGCGACGGTATCGCCCTTGCGGACGCCCATCTCGCGCAGGACCCAGGCGACCTGCGAGACGTCACGCAGAAGCTGCTGGTAGGTGACCTTGCGGCCGCCATCGGGCTCGTCGGCCTCGTAGATGATGGCAACGCGGTTGGGATCCTTGTAGGCATGACGGTCGACGAGGTTGTAGCAGGCGTTGAGGGTGCCCTCGACGAACCAGGCTGTGTCGCCGCCCTCGAAGGAGCCGCTGCGAACGGTTTGGAAGTCGGTGTACCAGGACAGGAGCTCGCGCGCCTTTTCGCCCCAGAACTTTGTGGGATCCGTGATGGACTCCTTGTACAGCTTCTGGTACTCCTCGAGATCTGGGCATCGTTAGTGACGGCTGTTTCGCGCGAGGGGATTCAAATGGGTAAGGGGTGCATCGGATGGGGAGGGGTTCAACCGCGGGGTCGAAAGGGGTTCACTCACTGGCAATGTGGGGTTTGCTGGGGTGCTCTGCGAAGAGGGGCAAAATCGTCAGCGAAGATGCTCCGACACGTTAAACAGAAGCAGCGCGCGCTATGACAGCATCGACCATCGCACCCCAGCCTTGCCCTTGTGGACCACATTGCGGTCGCAGCAGGACAGAGCTGGACGATGGACGATAGCGGTATCGGCGCACGCGACTTCGGGGAGGCATGAGGTCTCCATCTCAGCACCTCACACACAAAGAAAATGAAAAAAAAGGAGAAGGAGTGGGACGTACTGTCAAGCATCTTCTGAGGAGGGTCTATTGCGCACATTTACCGCCGCTGGTCAGCATGGCATCCTCCAATTTCACGGCTAATTCAGGAGGGGCACGTCACGGTAGCCTGCCCTGTCGCGCGCCGCCTCCAGAAGCGGGACAGCTCGAGAGGGGCAAGTCACCACGAGACAAGGGGGGGTGGCATTTTCGGGCTTACGGAAGGTGTCGACATTGTGGGCCTCGGCCACCACTGGTGTCTTTTGTTGCTCGCCTTCGGCCATGCTGGGCGACGGTTTGGCTTGTTGTTGCGATGGAGAGTGGTGTTGTAGGTCTGCAGGTTTGCGGCGTGCGGAAACAGGTAGGATGATGGTATCCGAACGTGTCGACGAGGGGTGTCTTGTCCCGTCTGTCGCTGTTCCCAGCACGCAGGGACCAGCGCGCTCGAGCGAACCTGGGCGTCAGGGTCGTCGTGAGTAGGCAGATGTGACGTTCCGGTCAAGGGTTCGGCAGGGGTCAATGGGGGGGTGACGCGGTAGATTGGTATGGCGCAACGAAACAGGAGACTGAAGCGGAGCGCTTGGAAGAGAGGGACAATGTCGAGGTGAGAGGAGGAAGAAGAGAGTGCAAAAAAAAAGGTAACCGTCGCGCCGTGAACGACTTTTGCGGGGAAGGGCCCTTTATGGGTCAGGTTCTTCCCCCCCCCCCCCCCCCTCCTTGAAAGGGTTCCAATGGCTGGCGGGACATTGCGTAGGAGGCGACGATGGAGTAAGGGACGGGCGGGCCACGGATCGGGAGTGTGTTGGGACGGGACGGGGGAGGGAGGGGCTCCTCTGCTTTGCTGTGTGCCACGAAGCGGAGAGGGTAGTAGGTGATCACTGGGGGTCCTGCGTTAAGCTGTCTTGGTGTTTTACCGTTAGGCCGGGGTCGGGGTCGTGGCCGTGGGGAGCCTTTTCCCTTCCCCCGGACGACCGGGCCATTTGGCGCCAAAAAAGAGGAGCTCGAAGAAAGAGCTCACTGCTTCGCCTCCTCGTTTTGCATTTTCCCGTCTCCAGAGTCCGCTGTCCACTTGCCGATTTTGCCGTTCTTCTGCATCATGTTATTGCCGCCGGGCGGCGGCCTGATGCTGACACGAAGAGAGAAGGGCACCTGTCTGGACAACAGGCACCTGTCTGGACAACACACGGATGCGACGGGTTGCCTTTGCGTCTTCGGATGCAGTCCGCGCGCGACGAAGTACTACGGCACATGCTCACCAGCAGTTGCATCCCTGGAGCGCACCTCACTCGTCTCACCCTCTGACTTTCCGCCCATCTTAGCCCTTCCCGGCCGGCCGGTGACGAAGGTCAAGACCTTTGGCTTTTGGCTTTTTTGGGGGGGGGGGGATGTGGAGGAGGGTCTTCTGATTAGGCTTGGCCTTAGTGTCTCCCCACGCCTCTGATCGGCGCAAACCTCTTTCGTAACGTGCATGGTCGTGCTGCCCGGATCGTCCCTTCGCCCTTCCTCTGCACTCAAGAGAGAAGAGGGCATGCTTGCTTGGCCTGTCTGCCGCATTTTTTCTTTTATCAAATACCGACATCTTGGCTCCTGTGTCACACCTGGGCTTCCAGGGCTCCGTGGGTTTGGGTTGTAGAGAGAGGCCCCTTGAAAGGAAAAGAGGCTCAAGGGTCGCCAAGTACCGACCGCTATCATGGCTCTTGAGCGCCTCAGGTACGGTGCCCCCCTCCAATGCCAATGGCGGGGTACTTGAACCCCTCCTGGCTGACCTCATCACATACGTCAGACACCAAAAGTCCACCATTCTCATTGCCTGGACAAGCTGAAGAGGTCCAGATTATCGACCTCATCCAGCAGCTCACAAGTGAAGGCGGCTGTTATGGGAACCTCACGCCCAGTCTTGTCAGCATGCCATGAGGTCAGAACTGCAACATGGCACAACTCGCCGCCGTGTGCATCTGGATGGCCAAGACAGAATGCCCCTCCGTTCCACTGGCTCTACGTGTTGCCGTGGTGGGGGGTTGATGGAGGTGCAAGTGCGGGTGTCCATATGGACGCACTGGCGCGAACACCCCCTTCCCCGCATCCACATGGGCCTCTATCATCAGTTGTCCCTCACTGTTTTGCCATGTACAATTCCTAGGCATGGACAATATGTGACCCTCCCCTCCGAGGCGTAGGGGGCCTCTCAGCGAACCAGACGGCTCGCATTGTGTTCACAATTTCATCTACTGCACCCTAAATCCCTTAGCTACTACGCCATCAGTCCCGAATCGAGATGGCTTATCCATGCTCACTGTCCTCTTACCTCGGGCCTCGACCGCGCATCATGACATCGCCATGACCTAACTTCCTCGGCCTTCCGTGGGTTCGCTTCCGTGGTCGACGCCGGGCATCAGCCGCGCGCCATTGTTCCCGACCCGCACCCATCCTTCGTTTATTTCCGTGCCAGCAATACATAGCGCCCGACAGCTCATGCAGCCAAGCAGATAACCCATTTGCTGCACCTTGCGAAAGGGAAAAGATGAGGCTGTTCGGACCTCTGGCCGTAGGATGACCGGCCGGAATGAGTCTCACCTAAAGTGGCATCTCTTGAGTCTGACACCTCGGGTACAATGCGCCATCCTCTAACCGCCAATACTGACCAGAGTCTGAGTTACCACATCGCCGCCGGCGAACTTTTTCAGCGTCCCACAATGCCTGGGAGCAGTTGTCCTCATAACTTGACCGTGTGAGTTTAATCAAGAGGTGCGAGCTCCAAGTTGGACCTCCATTTGACACCTCAAAAAGTATGACTTTGCACCCCCCCTTTGGAATCAATGTACAACTCACCCCGTGTCTACCCGGCCGAGTCTGCCACTTTTCGAGGTCCCTCCATCCGCAGAGATGTCTGTCGGCATCGGTCTGCCTGGACGAATGGAACTACAAGTTGCGTGCTTGTCGGTTATGCTCATCCCAATCGCCTGTCTAGCCTCCTGACTTCTGTATCACGGGGTTCAACTTTTGGGTTCCGACGGCTCCGAACAACAGGGGTTCGCCATGCACCAAGTTCAGATTATCCAATGCTGGCT